TTGCGAATATTATGTGCTCTCTGGTTGCGAAATTGAATCGCGGAACGGATATTAGAACAGAACCTGTATGGATAAAAAACATAAAAGAATTACGTCACTGGATGTAATCTAATACATATTATCTCTACGTGTGTTTTGGACCTTTTTTACAGTTGCATTAAAATAATAATACAAACCTGTTTATTTTTGGGTCATTTTTATGTTTATGATCCGTTTCTATTTTACAATCCGTGGAATCTTCTAACAACCCGCCAATTCCGGCGACGCATCGACGAAATCTGAGGAGTGACTAATCAAAACGTGTTTTGTTGAAGTTACATAAATTTTCAAAAATTACAATAGTTATTTGTGTAACTAGTGAGCAAAGTGGCACTTTGCTGCACACGAGTGAATGTTCCTTAAGTGGAGCGAAGGTCATTTTCGCTCGTGTTACACATTATATTTTTCTACAGTCACTATAAAGCATATAAATAATTAATCTTTCAAACACTATACAACACGTTTTTAGGTTACGTTAAACCCAAGCGTTGAACAGAATGGGAAACACTGCACCAGCTGATTGTAGTCGTAGTATCTTTAAGTGTTACCATTTACTATACAGGGTGAATAAAAAGTCAAGACCCCCCCCTCTAATATTTTTCCAAGTAAATATACAAAGATATCCTTTTGGTGGTCGAGCAATCTTAGCAGGAAGTTTCATTTTATCATTTTGAAATTTTTGAGTGTCCCCCCAAAACGGGGGATTTGGGGGGCAACTCAAATATTTTAAATGTAAACCCCCTTCAAGTGACACCTCATTTTAAAGTGTTTACAAAAACTTAAAGAATGGTGAAAACTAGAGGTCGATATCTCTTCTCTATCCAAAATGGTAGCCCGTCAAATGTTGTGGAAAATCAACGGTAAAATTGTTAATATTGGCTGTCATTTTGGACAGAGAAGAGATAGCGAGCTCTGGTTTTCACCATTCTTTAAGTTTTTGTAAACACTTCAAAATGAGGTGTCACTTGAAGGGGGTTTACAATTAAAATTTTTGAGTGTCCCCCAATAGGGGGGATTTGGGGGACAACTAAAAATGTTTCAATAGAAACCCCTATCAAGTGACACCTCATTTTGAAGTGTTTAAACAAACTTAAAGAATGGTGAAAACCAGAGCTCGCTAACTCTTCTCTATCCAAAATGACAGCCAATATTAACAATTTTACAATTGATTTTCCACAACATTTGACGGGCTACCATTTTGGATAGAGAAGAGATAGCGACCTCTAGTTTTTACCATTCTTTAAGTTTTTGTAAACACTTCAAAATGAGGTGTCACTTGAAGGGGGTTTACATTTAAAATATTTGAGTTGCCCCCCAAATCCCCCCTTTTGAGGGGGACAATCAAAAATTTCAAAATGACAAAATGAAACTTCCTGCTAAGTTTGCTCGACCACCAAAAGGATATCTCTGTATATTTACTTGGAAAAATATTAGAAGGGGGGGTCTTGACTTTTTATTCACCCTGTATATACCTACAATATCTATATTACTTATTTAATACGCAAGCAGGTTTTTTGTGACAATTACTCCTCCGAAACTACTGAACCGATTGGCATGTTTTTGGTGTCATTGGAAAGGGCGTAGCGTGAAGTTGTGCAGGAAACTTTCTTTTTAGGGAAATAATTAGAGAGTGAGACCCTGGCGCCCTTTAAAGTTTTGTATTTCTCCATAAGGATAACATAGGAGATAATTTTTATTTACAGAAACATATGTTTGTTACTTGAACATAGTCAAAGCCTACTACATAATAATTGCTGTGTATTATGACTGTTAATGTATACTACATTTCAATCAAGGAGTGTATACCTTAAAGTTTACTCATAATGGATCTTACTACTTTATTTTAATTCCGGGAATAGTAAATTTATTTGAGATTAAGTTACCACGATTTAGAAAACTTTACTATAATAATTTATGTATTTAAAATCACAAATCTTTGTCATTATTAATTCATTTGAAACAAAACAGCTGATCGACAAATCAAACAAATCATATACTTCATGTGAATAATGCTTTTACACAAAAATAGGTTACACAACCAATAACTTGATTCTTTTTTACTTGTGGGTGAATTTTGAGTTTGCAGTTATGAAAGCACCAAGCCAAGTGTGCACCACCACTTCAAGACTAAAATCATAGTATTCATGGAAGTGCTGTTGTGGTCAAAATATTGTTTTTTAGTGTTTATTTTTAAAAGTGTTTTCTTCAAGCAGCATTTTTATGACCCTCAAAATACGCTACACAGGCCTATTGGTTTGATATGATAAAACGTTTTGTTAAATGTGTTTTAAAAAATCTTTAAAAATAACAGCTCTATAACATACTTGAACACTTATTAATTTACTAAATAAAATACACATACAGCTAGAACTGCTGAAATGGCTGGACTGCTTCTCTCCTAAGGATTTATTATTACTGTATTTAATTGTTTACGTTAAGCCAATATATAACACGATGAATTTGTTTTCTAAATTCATATGTAATTTTGCGGGGCATTGCGCCGCACAGGTTCACTAGTATATAATGAATGCCGGGTTTTCTCTGAAGGTTCTAAGCCCAAAATATATAGGATTATATCAAATCAGATCAAATCAAATTTTCCTTTATTTCGTATTAAATAGACAATATTTACAAAATATAATGCATACAATAGAAATAAGTTTTAAGATGTTTTGCTAAAATAATAAACGAAATCAATCCCACATGGGATAACCCGTGCGTGGGGGTGAGTTGTATTATGTTACGATATGAAAGAAATTATAAAGTTTGATAACATAAAATAAACAAAAAACAGGTATTTCTAATAATTACAGTGCTGGCAAGACTCCAAAGCGCCAGCGGAGTCACGACATATGAGATTACGAGATATCAATATAACTGGTGAAATACATCTTAAATTGAAGGAAGAATCCGAAAAAAATCAAATTTATGTTTTTGGTATAGTAATACTTATATCGTTGGTATATGCCGATGCTTGATGTGCTTGAATCTGTGCGGGCAAACCTTCAATTTGAGACCTCAATCATGAAAATCGGTCGGTCAGAAGAGCTAAACGAACTCGGATGCCATGAAATGCTATCTTTCCAGCAATACCAAATTCACTACTTTGTCTCTCCATCCGTACCTTAAATGCATTGGATTTAAAGTGTGTGCGAAAAATAACCATATATTTCGTTTAAATCAACAATCATAACTGTAGTAAAAGCACTTTACTCAAGATTTTGTATTTAAATGCAGTAAACCTTGTAGGGGAAGGTAAACCTTGAAACACCTTGTATACACAGAAATATATTTACTGTTGCTGATATTTTCAATACACTTTTTTCACAAATAAAATACGCAGTTATTTATAAATAGTGCATCAACAGTTAAAAAATTACTTGATTCCTTTCTGAATATCAACCAGTAATGCAAACGACTTTTAAATACTTTATCTCAAAACTGTGACATGCCTTTTTTCATATTGTGTATTCAGAAAATGTTTACAATTTTTTTGACTTTCCATAGTTAAGAAATGGGCCTCTGAAACAGGGAGTTATTTTAAAGACAAATACTCGAAAAGATTTCAAACTTTTTAAAGATTTATTCCAGAGGTTAATGACCGTTAAATTGTATATGTTTTTTTCGTGAATATGCGCTGTTAATCTCCAGGCCTGGCACATTTTTGTCTGTAAATATAATTGTTTTATTGATAGAGAGACAAAAATGCATTTTAAATATGTCTTACTTTACAGATGTGTATTCAAAAGTGTAGCATTTATTATATTTTCCCGCTAAAATAAACTAAAAGTAAAGATTTTTCCTCCAAAAAACTTTGGACAGCTCCTTTGAGAACATCTGATAAAGCTTTGAAGCATCTAGAAGTCTCTATAATTTTCAAGTTCATGACATTTATTTTTTGTGGGCTTCAACGTCATTGGCTAGAGCTGTAGTCCTTGTTTGAGGATCAAATTTTGTATTGGAAGTTTATGTTATTTGAGAGATTTTTGCGGACATTTTTATACAAGTTTGCTCGACGTCTCGCGAGCTAAAATCTGACCTCATCCGTAGGTAGGTACCGTAACCTAAATACCTAAAACATCCTATACCTAAGCCCAAAGTGTTCAAAAACCTATATTGACAAGCCCAAAGTGTTTGCCTTCTACAGGGTTTCCCGGAGCCCTCTGGAACCCTATTGTATATTTTGTTGCTTATGTCAAAACAATATAAAACACAATATAAACATGGGTCTAAAATGCCTGGTTTTCTGTCTGTGTGCCTGTATGTGATTTTCACAAATGAATCCATAACATCCATAAGCTATTTAAGAAATAAAATTTTAAAACGCTACATTTTTGGATTGGTACAACTTATAAACCTGGTACTTTGTGCGAATATTAGTCTTACCTGTCACTACTTACGTACCAAGTTTCAAGTCAATCGTTTAAGGAGTTCGAAAGTTATGGATTAATTTATGAAAATCACATATGGACACACAGACAGAAAACCAGGCATCTTAGACCCATGTTTATATAGTGTTTTGCATAGTTTTTACCTAAGGAACAAATATACAAAAGGGTTCCAGAGAGTTCCGGGATACCCTGTATATTTATGTTGTACCTTAATGTGTTTTAAATTATTTTCTGTCATACTTTGAACCATACAAGTTACCAGTATGTTATTTTTCTTTGTGTGTGATATTCCACATTTTTTTGAATATTTTGTTTTAATCTTGATAGGTTTTAGATGGTTTTAGGTAGGCCTACTTTCTCACCTATTGATACAAAATTACAGAGCCTAAAAACAAAACTTTTTTCACTACTGATGGAAAATCTCCACCCATCCCCATATTGATTGTTCTGTACCCGCAGCCACTGACCTTGGAGTATCATCCCCTGGGAGGGCCGTGGGAGTCCCGCAGGACTTTCTCCCAGGTTATATACTGACGGAGCCGTCGCCCCGGGCTAGTCCGTGAACCATGAGTGTCTTGTGCCTGACGTCATCGTACAGTGTACATGTGTGAGTCTGTTCTGTTACAAACCTTTAATTTTATTTAGGTTTTAATTTGTGCAGTTTCTTTAGTGTTTAAAATTGTTAGAGCTTCCTTGAGTTATTCCCTATGGTAACGTAAAAATACGTCAGTTTTCATGATCAGTTTGTTGTTCATTAGGTACCAGGGGATGTTTTACCATAGTGATTGCCACTAAATTTAATTATGTAGAAATTTTAGGTTTTTGTTATTTTAAGTATGGGTATCGATCGAATAGATACTTTCATGATATTGTAGTTTCGAATGCACCCTAAGTTTCAGCATACTGTAAATTAAATTAGGATTTTTTCCATTAATTCACTACCACTAGTGGAATATGGTTAGGTTAGGCTAGGTTAGGTAAGGTTTTTATATCTCTAGACTAAACCTAAATAACTCAAATTTTAATTCACTATCACATATATTGCTAATAATCTATTGCTCCAAAAATTAGTGGTAGTGAATTAACGTAAAACATCCTTAAATCACAACAATCAGTCACATAATTTTTTTTTTAATCACGTCATTAAATCATTATCAAAATGTAAACAGTGTAAGGTCAACTGGGGCTTATATCATACACTAACAAAGTGGGACTAATATGATACGCCTTTAAAGCATAATACACACTTTTTTATTCTTAACTAAAATACAAAAAAACTACTAAAAAACTTAAAATAAACTACGGCATTCGTTTTATCTAACTTGGTGAATAACTAAAACCCAGTTGGAGCTCTATTCGTGCACTCGCCTTAACGAAACACTAGATAAAAAAATAAACAACTCAGTTAAGGGTGAGTTGCTGGCAGAAGGAATATCCTTGTTTACGTGGCATCCTAACATAACCTAACCTTGACGAAACACTAGAGAAAAAATATTAAACAACTCAGGTAGGGGTGAGCTGCCGGCAGAAGGAATATCCTTGTTTACGTGGCATCCTAAGCTAACCTAACCTTGACGAAACACTAGATAAAAAAATAAACAACTCACGTAAAGGTGATTTGCCGGCAGAAGGAATATCCTTGTTTACGTAGCAGTAGCATCCTAACCTACCTAACCTAATTTAACCTAAGTTAACCTAACCTAACCTACTCAATTATACAGTCAAAGAGGGCCATCACTTGGCTTGGATAAGGAACGTATCAGGAGGCCCGGCAATTATATTAGGCGATGTTGTTGAATATATCGAAAGTATTATTTGCATTTCGTCTATGTAGTTGAATAAGTGTTGTGTATTAATCCATCAGCGAAGCTATTCAAGCGGATTCAATGCATTTCCTACACTGAGGTATTTTGGCATTCTACCCGAACATGTAACATCGATATCATTGAAACTGCTGACGTTTATTGTAAACTAATATTAGTAAAAACAACAACTTATTTCAAAGTCATGAATATTTTCAGGTTAAGATGATTGTTGAATGATTTTTCATCCCATATAAAAGATGGAGATGTTTTGGCGTTTCGTGACATATAACAGTCACTTTGTTGTATATTTGTCCAGCAACTCATTACAATTGTGTGAACACCCATTATGTATACAGTATTCGATATCTTTGCACCCGTCCTAATTAATACTTGGTGAACCGATTAATATGGAGGAATGGTTTTTGTATCAACTGCTGCTCGTTTTACCAGATTCTATGAAAGTTCGACAGATTTAAACATGTATCTCCACAACTTGAATAGACCTTATTTCATACAGTTAAATATGGTTATTTATGAGAATAAGGCATCATATACATGTGTTGGAATGCGTGAAGCAAGCTATGTTTCAATCCCTTTATTTGGATTAGGTAGACGTTTTCCTTCACATGGAAGAGTTAATGAAGTAAATTAAACATCATATGCATTCTTAGTTACTGAAAAAAAAAAAAACTATCAAAACCCTATGGGTTGAATAATTGAGTTATTCTCAGTTTTTCATTGGTTAGAACTGTTTAGCACTTGTGTAGCACTGATACGAACCACTACACTTTCCCACACTTCAAATACAAAATTGTATCACTGCTTGTGGCACTGTACTATTGAATTCATTTACCCTATCACCAAAGGTGTAAGGATGTCTATTTTAAATTACTAGGTTTGGTTATAATTCTGTATTTGGCGAATTTTAACCAAAATTTTGTAAAAACAATTTAAATTAAATTTAAAATTAAAAATAAAATTTTAAATTTAAATGTTGTTGTTATTTGAAATTTTTTGTTTAATTTTTTTATAAAGAATCACCCACCAACGACACATACATTTACTTTTAGGGCTATATTCACATGTACCTATTTCATTGGGGAGCTTGCAGAATTTTAACTGATGAACTTGTCTTATATGTACTTAACTTGTAACTTACTTAAGTACAAACAACCTGCAGCTTACTTGACTTAACGATTACTTATCAAAGTGTTATTTATCAGAAGTTCTGCTGCTAAATGTAGAAACGATCTTATCTGAAAAATTGTATAATTAATTTGTCTTCTTGTATAACCTCTGTATGTGTGTTTTTCAACCCTCCTAAGCGGAAGAGTGCTATGCGCCAATCTGTTTCACTCCACCAACCTTCCAGTATTCTTTGGCTTTCTGCTGGTTTTGGTAACTAAACTTTCCTCAATGGTGATACACTAGTTCACTCTAATAAAAATCCCCCCAATGAACTTTTCCCCAAAACGAACATTTTACGCAACGAATTACTAAGTAACGTTAATTCTCTAAGGGTTACTCCAGAGAGGAAGGGTGTTCTAATAGTAAACAGTTTGTTGCCACAGAGTTGGTTGCATGTGTGTTAGTATATTGTGTATGTGTGTGGCTCGACTGGTTAGTGGGTTCCCACACTAGATAATCGCTATTGACTCACACTAACACAACACGGTGGATCAATAAGTAGGTAGGTCTAGATCAAGCTTGGGAAATGGCGACACAAATCACCTGCTTCACAACAACTGGTGGAGAGTTTATCAGTGCGGTTTAGTATCACTCCACAAAGGTTACTATATCAGATAGATATTGTTGGTTCATGCTACGGAAAGTAGGAGTTGTTTTGCCATTTTCTCTGAGAATAACTTTAGGTTTACAGGTTAGGTTATGCACTTGGGTGATAGCCGTAATTTCCAAGTGAATTCTTTTGGTAGAGTCATAAACATCATTCCACTCTTTGTTTCCACTCTTGTTTGGTGGAACTCTAGCTGCTGGTGTAGCTCACCGTCCATGTACATCGAGTTAGTAAAACATTTTACATCATACTACAGAGAAACAGATACTTTTCCATCCGTTTTGATAGGCTGGAAAGTTGCCATTTGCCGTGGCTACACACGGAAAAGTAACGTAATGTACTTTTACCTACGACCGTTTTTTAAAGTAGCCATTTCAGTCCAGTTCTTAGAATTGAAAAGTTTCACTTTACAGCTGTTTACTTTCATATCAGCATAGTTTCATTTCATATCAGCATAGTTTTTCTCATATCCACACAGGTAACGGACCAATGAGGTTCAAGTATTGAGAGAAAAGAATTAAAATTGTAATGCTTCTAACGTCAACTAATCAGCTGATCAGTTGACCAATTTAATTGTTGATCCGACTTGTTCATGTTGATACTCGCGTAATCTTAATTAAGTTGGTGGAAGTCCAAAAATAAATGAAATATTTGCCGAATTGTACCTGATACAGTATTATTTATGGTAAGAATGCTGCTAGCAATGTAATATTTAACGAAGTTTAACAAACACGTAATTACAGGAAATCAGCTGATTATACAACAAGTCGTTGCATTACTTTCAGTGGCAATGACAATACACGAAAACATAACCTCTCTAACAAGTTATCAGTAGTGATTGTTAGTAATTGAATCCAAATTGATAGTAATTAAAAAACGGTCGTAGGTAAAGTAGTGTACGCAAGTCACGTTAATAGTCTTTACGACACTCGTAGACGTTTTTAAGGCACTCGCCAAGGCTCGTGCCTTAAATTTTCTACTCGTGTCGTAAAGACTCACTTAACGCAATCGTTGCGTAAACTACTATTACATCACTCTGTATTCGAAAATAGCCTATTTCCATACAGCTGAGATCTTCGACAATAGTCAATTTCCCTACGCCACAAACAAATAGTGTTCAGCTGACTTTTCCTGACATAAACATTACTTTCGCTACATAAAAAATACTTTTCCTACAGTCACTCGACAAAATTTGCTTCCTTGTACTGTTTATAGTAGAGAAAGCTGCTAATTGCTGCATATTTATACTTTGCCGTACGGTTTATACTTTGTCGTACGGTTTATACTTTGCCGCACATCAGGATTCCAACGAAACAACACAAAACAGCGTGGTTCTATTATGCACGTAATCCGTGTACGCTTGGAAATAGGTTGGCAACACTTAAAGATAATAATACTATGAGCAGCTGATTGACTATTATAACTACGATTTAACCTGTCATTTCGTGTTTATAGTTTCGGTATTTCTGAACTTTCTGGACTTTTCTTTTAAACGTTTTTAAAACATTCCTACGATCTTAATAAACAAGAAAATACCTTTCAAGCATTTTTTTAGGCACGGAAACCACTTCAAATTACAAAAACATACGGAACTATATTCTCAAAACGCGGAGCACATTTCTTGCCGAGGAAAAATAGCGGAGTGATACGGACCGCGGGTACTACTTTCTCTAGGGCACCATTTGTGTTGCCAGCTGAACCTAAAAACGTGTTGTATAGTGTTTGAAAGACTAATTATTTATATGCTTTATAGTGACTGTAGGGAAAATATAATGTGTAACACGAGTGCAAAAGGCCTTTGCTGCACTCGAGATCATTCCATACTCGCCTGCGGCTCGCGCGTAAACATTGCTCTCGTGTGCAGCAAAGTGCCACTTTACCCACTAGTTACACAAATAACTATTTCCTGACATCAACAAAGTTAAAAAAAAAACATCACTATACTGAAACTTGAACGTGTAAAATGAACGGAAAACAAATACTATCGGAAAACGGTGGTAAATTATCGGAATAAAAGCGACTTCACCCAAAAAATCTCAAGTTTATTTTGGTACGTTCCTTGATAGGTTACGTTTTAGCACGTTGTCTTCAAATAATATTCCCTATTTCTTGAACAAGTTTTTTTGTTGTTTGTAGGTTAGAATCAGCTGATATGGTTGGTAACACCACATGGTAACACAGATCAACTCTTGAAATTATTTCATCTGATCACTTCATCAAATTGCTGATAATTGTGTGCATGACCATTGATTATTGGATATTTAAGTCGACATCCCATCCATATGGACCAGCTGTCAGAAGTTCCTTACAATAAAAGAACGTAGATGAGTGAACAAGTCACAGAATACACTAGTGTTTAAAGTTATATTTTCTAGGCTAATTTTCTACTACTCATAACCGTTGCTATAGCTCAAAATATGTCGTGCTATTAGTTTAACTTGGTAAAAAAGTTCGTGAATTAGACAGAAATCAGTGATTTAGTTCAGCACAATCTGTCGGTGGTTCACATCAACAATGATGATTGACAACGGTCGTCATCATCATCAACAACAACCATTCTCACACCATTTCCCTCACCATTCTCCATCACCATTCTTTATTGTTTTCCCTCAAAAGGTACATCAAACAAATTTATCATTTAGAAACTTGGAGATGGAGATGGAGCCTACTGATTTTAATATTAAAGAAGAAACCATTTCTAAAACAAATTAAAATTATGTGGTTGAGGTCAGTTAAGCAATCAATGTGTAAAAATGGACGTGCGAACTCTTCAATATAAACAAAGGCCATTCAACTGTTTGGCCAACGTCCTGTTGAAATGTCTGTGAGAACTGTGAATGTATTCTAGGTCGGCGTGTGAGATTCTGGTGACGCAGGATGTTACAACAGGTGACGTAGTTGTCACCGTTGCAGTCACATCATATGCTAACTGTTAAATTAATAAGATGATCATATTTCAAAGCTTTAACGATTCTCGTGATAGCCGTAATGGCTTATAGATGTGTGTTCTTACCCGGCGCTTTATTCTCATGACACGGTGGCTTAGTTTGCTGGTTTGCAGACCACATTAGTTCCAAGTCTTAGCACGTAAAAAAGGGTTTCTGGCGAGGAGTGTTTTATTGGAAACGTTTCTCTACAGAAAGAAACATGCTATACTTTATGATGGTCCAATTTTGTTCTAACACATTTGTTCAATAATTTTTATCATATTCCATTTCGAGAACTGTTAGATATTTCAAAATTACAAGGGACAAAGTAACCGATATATTTGAAGCATTATTGGACATGTGTCAACAGAGTAGACGATTTCCAGTTGTGATTCCACACTCCAGAAATGTTTGAAAGTAAAAGTGTATGGATTGACCGGAACATCGTCCTTACTGCGGATGTCACTTTCCCGGAGTGTGAGGTCTTGTACAATAGATAGCGTCTTCCTCTATGTCAATGGTGACTATGATGTGTCATCCATCCATGGTCAATGGTCATAAACCTGATTTGTTTTATAGACACTCCTCATTCTCAGAACTAAAGAGAGTGTGTACGCAATTCAGGCTATTTCAACTATTTGAATTAAATTTTAAGTTATGTGTAGGAAATAGTTTAATTACTATGAGATACAAATATAGGCCTATGGTCTAACCACGATGACAACTTGACTGCTTAAGATTACCGTAATACGTTCCCTAATTTCAGTGATGATTATAACAACCTATTTCATTTATCAATTGGTTACAGAGAATTTGTGCCGGATACAGTGACAATATGCCGGTGGCACTCGAAACTTTAATCTTTCCTCTCACTAATACTACAACTTAATCATGGGTATGGGTTTCTACCTTTATCAATAGCAAATTATATGCTCTCACTGTCGTCTATTCGTGCTATCTTTATAGTATGTGCATACGGTGCGTCGCTGAAGAAATATAGTAGGTTGACGGTTTGATCTTTAAGAAAAGTCCAAATCTTTTTAACGGTACAAAATTGGACCTAACTGTCTGGACCACTCTTTCAATAAATTATGAAAGCTGTAATCTCATTCATTGAAAAATCATTGTTTACTCATCTCATCTTCAAATGCGTGTGCGCCGGCGTCCTACAAATATCTCTATAACTCGAAAAGTTCTTTTAGACCCTACTACCTATCCAATTATTTTCTTTCACGCACGCTCCGATCAATAATTTTCAGTATACTCGAAATATCAGTAGATATTCTCACACTTTACTAAATGTGGATTGTGTTTGATTACAATGTTGATTGCCGCTGTATGCAGATGCTGTGGTGGCTTGCACTGGCGACGACGGTGGTCTGTCAGCCCCAAGCAGAGCCCCAAGAGGTTGAGATCATCAAGCAGATCAACCGAGTCAACGAGGATGGTTCCTACACCTTCGGCTACGAGGCGGCGGACGGAAGCTTCAAGATTGAGACTCGCGACGTCATGGGCAACGTCAAGGGCATGTTTGGCTTCGTAGACGAGACTGGCGAGCTCAAAAAGGTACTTGGGTTTGTATCAGGTGTTATTAGTGGTAGTGCATTTTGCGCCAAAGAGTTCCTGAACTCCGCCAAGCCCTCAAAGGGTCCCAAAAGTGTTCCTTATTTGCGCCAAGCCCAAGGTAGGGTTGAGTTGCCGGCAGAAGAAATGCCCTTGTTTACGTGTCAACCTAACATATCATAACCTAACCTAACTTGACCTAACCTAACTTAACCTAACCTACTCAATTATACAGTCAAAGAGCGCTGCCACCTGGCGGAGTTAATGAACGTATCAGGTGGCTCTCTGGAGTCGTTGGCGCAATTTAGGAATACCCGACTACCTGACTCAGGTCAGTTGGTCCAGGCAATTAATGCCCGTCCTTGTCAATTGTTCTAAGACAAAGAGTACGAGTGCTAACCTGGATGAAATGTTTTAGTTGTTCGTCAGATAGGTCGACGCGTTTTTATATGGAGCTTAAGTTTAATTTACTCATTAAATTTTGATTGAATGAACTCATTTTGCTTTTCCTCCTATACATGGTATAGAAAGTATTGTTTTCATCGACGTCTTGGTGTAAATATTCGTTTTGGGTCCTCTTGAACTAAAAGAAGTTGTTCTCGAAGTTGTATTGTATGAATTAAAACTGTTCTTGTTTTTGGCCTCTGGGAACCTCAAAAATGAAAAGTAAATCGGCTCCGGGCCCAGGTCCTAAGATGATACCTACAGTATTAGCGTATTCCCTGTTTAGGCAACTCGATAAACATGTTTCATTTCGGAACAGTCACAACATTTTGACAATGTTTATGGTCCTTATCAGATATGTTCTAATATCCGTGGTACTAGTCAATACAGTTGTATCTTCGGGCATTTTTTATGGTTTTTAAATTTTTTATAAAGATTTTTTCATGAATCTCCATGAAATAACGGAAAGATCAGATGAAAATAATGGCTAGAACGATTTTGATTAAAATTAAGGATTTTATGTTCTTTTGAGCCCTTAACAAAACCAAAAATAATGTAAAATACCCCCACCGTAGCAAACCTACAGACTAAGTGAATTTCCATTTGCCTGATTGTATGTACATTAAAATGTCTCCACAAGAGTAATAATGTTTTGGGAGAGTATGAGAAAGTATGACGTGTCAGTTTGCTGTGTGAATTCTTAAATCAAGATTTAGTTATGTACTTTTCATCCATAACTAAATCTTTTTTTAGTTACAACGATTTTCCTATCAACAATGTTCTATACCAAGTTAGGTAGCTATGGAGCTTTAAAACGTTAAAAAATGCTTACTTAAATTAAATTCTTCCGTAATGTATTATTTCAAATTCTAACCCATAATAACATAGCATTAAGCATTATTATGTGTTTATTTATGTTTCAAACTAGAATAGGCTACTCTTGCACAGTAATTAATACTTTTAAATATGTTACTGCAGGTGTCATACACCGCAAACAACGGTACCGGTTTCAAAGCCACTGGCGAAAGATTGGCTCCTTTCACCACGGAGAGACCGAGTGAAGAAGAAATTACAAGAAGGCCAATCTTAGTTCTTCGTCAGCCGAACGACCCTACTCGGCCCCCAGTGATACAACACATCCCTCGTAGAGTTGGCTACACCACGACCGTCGTTCCCTCCACTTCCACGACCCCCTCGTACGGCGAGTACGTCAAGGGACGTCGAACACACATCGTCCTGCCAACCAGGACCAAGGAGGAGACCACCACGGCGACACCCAAGGTTACAGAGGAGCCTGAGGACGAGCCGACACAGATTCCGTTGAGGAAGTTGTTGATAACGAGAAAGCCAGCGATCCAGGGAAAAGGAGGAAACAATCTGAGACGTCAGTTGGGAGGAGAGCCTGACGCTCCTTCGGGAGATGTAGCTGATGTATACTCAGGGGGAGCTGCGAACCCACGATACATCCCGGTCCAGTCCGTCAGGTCTCCCCAGTCTCCGCTGTTAGCCAATCTCCCACCACACGTCGCCTCGGCCATCAGACAACAGCAGATAGCTCGTGCAGCCGCCACACTGCGGCCGTATACTCCTGAGGATCCTTATTCAACAACGTCTCCCATTCCGAGCAGACCTGGAGTGATTGACGAGCAAGAATATCCTCCGATTCCTATTCGTCCTCGACCACTTCCACCGGTTAAATCTGTTTATCGGTCCGGAGACGAAGACCTTCCCACTCGAGTGCCTTTTCCCATGTCGAGCCTCGTGTCACTACGAGATGAACTCATGGATTACATTTTGAGGTACCTCCAGTTCCGACTTGCTGGTGGGAACCCGTATTTGATGAACCCGTATCCTCAACCGTACCCAAATCCAAACATTCCTTACCCCACGCCAAACTATCCCGGAGTAAATCCTAATGTGTTCAATCCTTATTACAACTACCCCAACACTCCGTACCCGCGAGGGATTCCATACCAACCACCTTTCAACCCAGTGGGTTATCCTCCGGTAGGCTACCCGGGATTAGGTTATCCCGGTAGTTTTCCTCAGCCTCTTCCATTTTCAAGCCCAAACAAGCAGCAAGCCGGGCAAGGGTACGGCCCAAGCCAGAGAAGTGCTCCGTCTTACGAACAGATCTCCACTCCGAGGCAATTCTCTCGGAACTACGACCAATCTCAGGTGACGAGAGGAGGTTCTCCAACGTACGAGCAAGCTGAGACCAGAGGAACCTCTGAGCAATCTTCCTACACCCTGCCTCCCTCGGATGTGCTCAGGATGATGTTGGCGCGAGGGCTCTCCACATCCACTACCACCGCCGCTCCTGTCCGCAACGTCCAGATCTTGGGGGCGGCATCATCCCTATCGTCGTCAACTCTACCGCCCCCAGAAGAAATGGAGATGCAAGCGTAAATTATAACAAGCATCTGACCCTAAAATACTTGATATTTTGCACTATCCAGTATTTAGTCTTTCGATTTGAACAGATAGTACTAAACGTTGGTTAAAATGGGAAACTTGTTAATGAAATAGATGTTAATTTTGATTGGATATTTAAATGATCATCCCTTCTAATTTGTGATTTTGACATCGTAAAATTGGTCAAAAAATAATTGCTATCTGAAATCCAACTTGCTATTGTCAAGGCAAAACGGTATGGTAACATCGTATCTTCTGCTACAAGTTCCTCCGCACGGTTTAAATCGAAAATAAATCAACGTTTATAAATATTTAATATTGTTAGTTTTGTAATGTAATCTAGAATGACTGTAAGATATAGGTGTAAGTTTTTTACCAAATATATTTTGTACATTTGAATGTTTTGTATTCTATCTGTTACCCTTTTCTACATTTTTCTCCTAGGTGCTTCGTTATATCACAATCAATAAGTCGTGCAAAGAAAAGTTCAAATAGGAATACACCTGGTTTAAAAGTCTTTCTGTATCCATCGCCAATTAAAATTTTTATCATGTTTGTTTGAATATCTGAATATAACATTCATTGCATATTGTAATGGTAAAATTCAATATTCTCATAACTAATGAATATATTTGAACGTTAATCATTAGGTCAAGACTGGTTCAGAAAAGTTATTATTTTAAGGGTTTTTTATCAATTAGGCCTAATTATTCAATTTGAAGACACGAGACACAAAGAAATTTAAAACCCCCCTTGACACGAATGTCTTTAGTTCCCGTCATATAGAAGGTATATAATGCGTATAGAACACCACAGCTTTACGAAGAGCCACAAGGCCTGCCGTTGCATAGTTCAGACCCCATTACCCGCCAATAGTATGGCGCGTCGTGGATGGTTGTATGATTCAATGTGTTGGGATTTCTCAGCTGCGCGCATCTCTCCTTTTTGTACTTGTCCCATCTGGAAACATGACAAACTTTATTAAAAGTAAAATAACTAAACTGTATTGAATTTACATTAAAAATTTTAAAACGCACGAATACTTTAACGGTCTGCACGTTTCGTGTAACTCTAACCATATTATAGGCTACAAAATTATCCTGCACTCATAGCCTCATCCTCCTCGTTCAGTCAACTTAAACACGCACACAAAAACAAAGTACGTAACCTTAATGATGTAATACTTTTCTCCTTGGTGGAATTTTTTGTAAGTACATTAGCACATAATAAAACAGGTAGCAATATTGAAAATACTCCATGACATAATTTGTATGACACCATATTTGTTTTAAATAAAAAGCGTGTAGACAATAATTATAATAACTATTCTTAATTCTTTGTTTAAAATTAACTGTTGGTTTTGTGTGATCTACTGGGTAGCTGAGTGGTTATAGTGATCGCCTAATCCGTCTTGAGAAAAGTCAGTAGCATTTTGATGGTTCTAAACCAGACCCAGCTGTTTCTAATCATTGGGCTTTAAATGACCCTAACTAATGAAACAGCTGATCTTAGTCAGTAACAAAGCTACACACGTGATCACACTCCTTTCTACAAAGATTCTAGATTCTACACACATCCTTCACTCTTATTTGGGGTGAAATACGTACACAGGTGGCGTTCCCATCTCAATTGTTGATAATTGATAACCAATCAGTCTCCAACAATGAAAGAAAAATGATCATACTATTATATTCACATTACAAGGGCTTACCTCCTAGCTTCCAGAAACTTCTGGAATAGCTCCTGGTCGGAGGACATTCTAGACTCTAGGAACTGACGAATCCGGGACCAAATGTTGGCTACGTTGTGCTGACGCAGGAGATACAAAGGGATTCTCAGCACTCTCACGTTGGTATCAGCGACAATGGTACGTTCAGCAAGAGACTCCCCTGAGACGGAGCGCAGTTATGGTGAAACAAATAGATAAAATAGGTAAATTTAACAAACCCATAGCGGTCATTGAGGCCACTTCAAAAAAGAGTGGTGAATTCCATCTGACGGCGCAGTTAACGCCGAAACATCAATGGAAATGGACACTCACAACAGCCGTGAAAGCCTAATCACGATATCGGACTAAGTATTGATGGTAAATATCAATCGAAATTAATTGATTTTAAATTGTTATTTGAAGGACGTTTAATATAACTATAGACAAAAATAATTAATTATAGACCGTCAGCTGTGCTGCGGTCACTATAGGTTCTGGCGCACACCGCTTGGAGCGGCATGTAGTTACGCGCTACGTGACTATACGGCGCTCCCAGCGGTGTGCGCCAGAACTTATGGTACCCATGGTAACCACAGCACGGCTGACAGTCTATATTTAATGTTTTTTGTCTATAACACACTGTATTTTGTTGTTTGAAAACTACATCGTTCAACCTTTGACTATAGATAGGGTATAAGGCATCACTTTTTAATGTTGTAACCAGTTTTAGAATTATAAAGCGATTAGTTATGCTTAGTCACCAACAGAGTGTGCTGCATTCATTCACCAACTTCCGACATACACACACATTATTTTTAACCAAGACAGAACGAAAAGCGAACGTGCCTCTAAAACTATAGTATCTAAAAAGTCACACCGGTAGCTAATTAACTATCAAAGACCAAAGTAACAGTTACAGTCCATATAGATGGGTTGCCTACCTGTCAAAAGTCAGCTGTTGCACTAACCTAAATTAAAGCAGCCGCCCTGAGTGAAGAGGCACACCTGCATGACCAGAGGTCCAACCCCCGGACCAGCTGTGTCTGGGGGGTGTAGCTTGTACTTCTCACCATCCTTGCTGACCATCAGCCGCTGTACCATGCTGCAGGTTCCGGACAACACGAAGTGTGCTGACCCATGCTTGCCCATGCCCTTGCCTGGGAAACAACACTGGCTGTTAAGTGCACCAGTAAGTGAACATTTCCATGGTTGAGGCAAGTTATATAAAATAACATTAGTCCAACTGCTCGGTAAATTAGTCGTCTTACTTTGTACAGTTACATCCACCGGTCACCAGAAGGAATATATGTTTGTGTGATTATAGTGCTCAACCAACAATCTGGAGGCTGATGCTTCAATCTTTTTACACCCTTTGCTCATATTACATCCATGCTGCTAAGTAGTGTCCCCAACATGCAATACAGTAGTGCAATAACTCTATAGTAAATAGGCCGGGTCCGCTTCATAAAAAAGTACAGCTAATTTAAAAAGACCCCCGCCGCAGCAAAAATGCAGACTTACCGAATTTCCATTTTCCTGGAGTTCTACTCAAATATTCCCTTAAAATTTTCAGATTTATTTCCTATTTAATAATAGCATTCATTTTAATGAGTACTTAGGTTTGCTACTACAGGGAAGGTATTTAGGTGTGTTTTTTTGTCGAAATGTTTATAGCTTTGTATCAAATAAACAAAATTGACAAATTTAATAAAAATATTCATAAACAAGCAAACTACAACAGTTAGTTTATTCTCCATAAAAATATCATGGAGTTAAAATTTTACAATTTTTTTTTAATTATTTCCGTAACCTTTAGGCATACAACAACGCTTCAATGTACAAAATTATTTATTTTTTTATTTCTACAAATGGTTTTGAAAGAAATTGAAATTGTAAAACTGTTTTTAGGGTCGAAATTGGGAAAAATCTATTTTCCCCCATCTATTTTCCCCCATAAACCCTCGTTCCCATAAGACCACTCGGCAGGCCGAGACTGCGATGGAGGAGTCAGGTGCTGAAGGATGTGGCTGTATTGGGCACTACTCCTGAGGCAGCGGTGGATAGAGAAGAGTGGAGAGGCATCGTTGGCGAGGCCAAAAACCTTCTGAGGTTTCAATGGCCAAGGAGGTAAGGTAAGGTAAACCCTCGTTCCCATAGTCCAGGAAACTACTAGCAGCTGGGTATGTATCCATCAAGTATTATGGAGCATGTAAAACTAAATAAAGAAAACTAGAACTTCAGCTCTGGGGACAAACTACCACAGTCCACTTACCCAGTACGATGTCGTGAGGGTTGCAAGAGAATGTGTCGCTCAGCATGCAGCACTCCCTGGTGGCAACGTCATCCCAGTTCTCGGAGCAATATTGACATCTACAACACTACCACAGTCCACTTACCCAGTACGATGTCGTGAGGGTTGCAAGAGAATGTGTCGCTCAGCATGCAACACTCCCTGGTGGCGACGTCATCCCAGTTCTCGGAGCAATATTGACATCTACAACACTACCACAGTCCACTTACCCAGTACGATGTCGTGAGGGTTGCAAGAGAATGTGTCGCTCAGCATGCAACACTCCCTGGTGGCGACGTCATCCCAGTTCTCGTAACAATATTGACATCTACAACACTACCACAGTCCACTTACCCAGTACGATGTCGTGAGGGTTGCAAGAGAATGTGTCGCTCAGCATGCAACACTCCCTGGTGGCGACGTCATCCCAGTTCTCGGAGCAATATTGACATCTACAACACTACCACAGTCCACTTACCCAGTACGATGTCGTGAGGGTTGCAAGAGAATGTGTCGCTCAGCATGCAACACTCCCTGGTGGCGACGTCATCCCAGTTCTCGGAGCAATATTGACATCTACAACACTACCACAGTCCACTTACCCAGTACGATGTCGTGAGGGTTGCAAGAGAATGTGTCGCTCAGCATGCAACACTCCCTGGTGGCGACGTCATCCCAGTTCTCGGAGCAATATTATTGACATCTACAACACTACCACAGTCCACTTACCCAGTACGATGTCGTGAGGGTTGCAAGAGAATGTGTCGCTCAGCATGCAACACTCCCTGGTGGCGACGTCATCCCAGTTCTCGTAACAATATTGACATCTACAACACTACCACAGTCCACTTACCCAGTACGATGTCGTGAGGGTTGCAAGAGAATGTGTCGCTCAGCATGCAACACTCCCTGGTGGCGACGTCATCCCAGTTCTCGGAGCAATATTGACATCTACAACACTACCACAGTCCACTTACCCAGTACGATGTCGTGAGGGTTGCAAGAGAATGTGTCGCTCAGCATGCAACACTCCCTGGTGGCGACGTCATCCCAGTTCTCGTAACAATATTGACATCTACAACACTACCACAGTCCACTTACCCAGTACGATGTCGTGAGGGTTGCAAGAGAATGTGTCGCTCAGCATGCAACACTCCCTGGTGGCGACGTCATCCCAGTTCTCGAAGTACGGAAACTGCTTCATTGCAGTGCTGATGTCGTCCCACTGCTTCTGCATGGACGCCTTCAGCACACGGTCAAAGTCGTCCTTCTTCAGGATCAGCAATTCCACTGCAGCTTTTTTGAACATGATTGAAAACTTTAATGAGTAGTATAGTAGAAGGGACAGTAGAATAGAAGTGTCAGGGTAGTAGAGGTACAATCTGGTAGTAGAACAGTGTCGTGGTAATGGAACAATTTAGTAGTAGGAACAGTTTCATAGAAGAGACAGTTTGGAAATGCCACAGAGGAGCAGTAAGGATAGGGCTTGTGTCATGTGTACACTACCGTTGTCGTATTTTGCTTGATCGATAGCCCGATAGGCGACCATGCTGCGTGCTCTGTGTAACGACGGTTGGTTTGTTGGTATTCAAACCTTCACATTCGTTATTTTAACTTATTTTTCTTTAAATCTTGTGAACCAATTAATGTCAAATCTTGGCCACAAAAGAATAGAAGAACTGTTTCTGGAGAAATCAATCTTTAGTCAATTGCTATTTTTTTTAATACTTTCTAACAGCTGGTTGACGTTAAATATTAAGAAGTCCAATGTTTAAACTGTTTCTTTCATTGCAGTTACACCAACTCTATTTTTTTTTTTCTATCCATAATTTGTGAGATTTGTTTACGATTAATACACCCGTTGCAGAAGACCACACATGATATTTCTCAACACGTATGTTCATAAACAAGCATGCAAAAATATTGTCCATAAGAATAACATGCGAAGTGAGTATAAAGGTTTTCTGACAAGGAAATGTCAAAATGGGTGATAATCAAGAAGATCTTAATCAGATGAAGCCAGATACCAATTCGTATTAAGATATGTTGAGAAATAAGCGAGATATATAATTTTATTTTTTCCCGATAAGAAAACCATGGGGAAAATGTTCTGTTTTTTCCACGTTCAATATCTCGGTAACCAATGGACATAGAGCAATTATTCAAAAATCAAATTGTTTGTTTTCAAATTGTTTTTGTTGTTGTTGTTGTTGTTGTTGTTGTTGTTTGTTGTTTTAAAATTCGATTATTTCACTCTGGAAAGAGTAATTATTAATTTAATGAATAGATTACACACATGGCGGCTATCTTGGATTTACGACGTCAAAAAACCAAACAGCGCAATTTGAAGGTAAACACCCGGTGCTACACCATTATGTGACATATAAGTTAATACAGACATTCCAAATAGTCACTCCTACCCTTTACAAAAAATCCCACGGAAGTTGGATGTGTGCAGTTTTCTCCTGGACTATCGGTAAACATAAACTCTTTGAGCGGAGCGAGCGAAGCTGTTATACTTCGACTCTTATGCATTTCGTAATACGCAAAATCATCCTAGACGGCTGAATCAATCGTTTTCAAATTTTGCATGGTGATAGACCATATCGGTGAGTGCCAACATTAGATTAAGGTACTGTATCTGCATTCCTAAATTTCTATGGGAAGGGAGGAAAACAGGTCCGCGACGTAGTAAGTGGTGAAGGAAGTAGTCTAAGCGAACTGTCCGGAGTGTGGGAACTGAATACGACGATTAGATTAAGGTATCTGCAATCATATTATGCTATTGGAAGAGAAAGAAACAGGTCCGCGACGTAGGAAGAGGTGAAGGAAGTAGTAAAGGCGAGCTGTTCGGGGTGTGGGATTTGTTTGTGACCATTAGATTAAGGTATTTGCAAACCTGTGATGCTATGGGAAGGGAGGGAAACAGGTCCGTGACGTAGGAAGTGGTGAAGGAAGTAGTAAAGGCAAGCAGTCCGGACTGTGGGAACTGTTTATGACGATTAGATTAAGGTATCTACCATCCTAAAATGCTATGGGAAAAGAGGAAAACAGGTCCGCTATGTAGGAAGTGGTGGAGGAAATAGTCAAGGCGAGCTGTCTAGAGTGTGGGGACTGTTTAAGGTGATTACATTAAGGTATCTGCAATCCTAAAATGCTATGGAAAGGGAGAAAAACAGGCCCGCGATTTAGGAAGTGGTAAAGGAAGTAGTTAAGGAGAGCTGTCCGGAGTGTGGGAACTGTTTATGACGATTAGATTAAGGTATCTACAATCCTAAATTTTATGGGAAGGGAGGAAAACAGGTCCGCGATGTAGGAAGTGGTGGAGGAAGTAGTCAAGGCGCGCTGTCTGGAGTGTGGAAACTGTTTATGACGAATAAATTAAGGTATCTACAATCTTATAATGTTATGGAAAGGGAGGGAAACAAGTCCGCGATTTAGGAAGTGGTAAAGGAAGTAGTTAAGGCGAGTTTTTCGGAGTGTGGGATCTGTTTATGACTATTAGATTACGGTATATGCAATCTTAAAATTCAATGGGAAGGGAGGGAAACAGGTCCGCGATGTAGGAAGTGGTGAAGGAAGTAGTCAAGGCGAGCTGTCCGGAGTGTGGGAACTGTTTATGACGAGTAAATTAAGGTATCTACAATCCTAAATATTATGGGAGGGAGGAAAACAGGTCCGCGATGTAGGAAGTGGTGGAGGAAGTAGTCAAGGCACGCTCTCTGGAGTGTGGGAACTGTTTATGACGAATAAATTAAGGTATCTGCAATCCTAAAATGCAATGGTAAAGGAGGGAAACAGGTCCGTGACGTAGGAAGTGGTGAAGGAAGTAGTCAAGGCGAGCTGTCCAGAGTGTGGAAACTGTTTATGACGATTAGATTAAGGTATCTGCAATCCTAAAATGCAATGGTAAAGGAGGGAAACAGGTCCGTGACGTAGAAAGTGGCGAAGGAAGTAGTAAAGGCGAGTTGTTCGGAGTATGGGATCTGTTTATGACCAATAGATTAAGGTATTTGCAATCCAATAATGCTAAGTGAAGGGAGGGAAACAGGTCCGAGACGTAGGAAGTGGTGAAGGAAGTAGTCAAGGCGAGATGTCCGGAGTGTGGGAACTGTTTATGACGATTAGATTAAGGTATATGCAGTCTTAAAATGCTATGGGAAGAGAGGGAAACAGGTCCGCGACGTAGGAAGTCGCTTAGGAAGTATTGAGCATAGTGTGAGATCCGTCTGTGGCAGTTAGATTAATGTATATTTAATCCTAAAATGCTTTGAGAAGGGAAGAAAACATGCCCCACGACGTAGGAAGTGGTGAAGGAAGTAAGGCTGGCAGTGCAGAGTGGGGGAACCGTTTGGGCAGTTAGATAAATGTATCTGTAATACTTAAATGTTATGAGAAAGGAAGGAAACGGGTCTATGACGTAGCAAATGGTGAAGAAAGTAGTAAGGCTAGCAGTGCAGAGTATGGGAATTGTCTTTGGCAATTACATTAAAGTATCTGCAATCCTAAAATACCATGGGAAGAGAGGGAACAGGTCCACGACGTAGGGGGTGGTGAAGGAAGTAGTAAAGGTGAGCAGTGTTGAGTGTGGGAATGGATTAATGTATCTGCAATGATAGAATGCTACAGGAAGAGACTGTAGACTATATGTTAAAATGATTACGAAGCACGAATCGATACATATTTTCGATACATGCAATCGTTTACGATCGAAATTTAGAACTGAGTTGACAACAGCTGATTTTTACTCCATAGAGGCTAAAACGATTTTTACTCCCTTATTATTAAAAATGCTACTTAGATATCCTCAACGCATGCATTAAAAACGACTGTTTTTACTGTATTAGGACAAAAACAATATATTATTATGAACCCTTGGTGACTCCGCTCATTTTTGTGGATGCCTCTGCGAACGCCACCTAGTAATCTGTGATAATTTGTAAATTGAATCATTTGTGATATTGTGCGAATGCTTGATAATTTTTTTTTATTATTTAGGTACAGTGGTCAAGGGCGGTCCTAGGGGGGGTCAGGGGGGTCATGAACCCCCCCACAAAATATTTTATGTATAGATAAACTTTTATACCAGAGGGGAACTTTAATAATTTGTATTGCAAATCGTTCTACCAAATTGAAATTCATTGTAGTGTTTACACTTGTGGTGAACGAATGGACTAATCACAAACTCTAACCCAAACCTCGGGAGCATTCGAGTCTGACTATTTTTTGTGCGTTATAAAAAGTAGGGAAGATCGGCAGACGACGGACGCTTTCAGCCATATATACGGCAACGGCAGTGTCCTATGCTGGTGTTCGACGTTCGGCCGCATTTTTCTTCTTATTTAATTTTTCATTTTAACCTAGATGGTTGAAAACTTGAATTGGGTATTGGATAAAGAAAAGAAGTTGTATCAATAGTCAAAGTTTGAAAGGTAGTTGAATATTAATTTATCTGAGTTCAGCGATAGGAATTTGTTATTACAGTAATGTAATTCAATGATTACCGTAGACAATTTTAAAACTTTCAATATTAAATATCATATATATGTAGAGCACCTGATATATCATATTTAAGAATAACACAACAACACAACCCAATTTTTATGTTGCTAGCCACGAAACAACAACAAAATGGTAGGTAATGTCTCAGACTTAGATGCGGAAAGGACGGATTTAATTCCCGGCACAACAATGGCCACAGCCCCAAAAACGTTACACAAAAACTTTATTTTCACGTTGACCCCTTGTAAAATTCCACTAGCGTTGAAAAAAATTAGAACACTGAGAACCAACTCTTCAGGCGGTAGCAGTGACGGGACGCCGACGGCAACGTTATTTGGGTAGTGTACTTTGTGTAGGTTAACTGTTGCTTGCTGGGCAGATATAATGCAGTCATGTTGGGTGCAAGTTCTTAAGCACTTCTTAGACAAAATAAGTTCTCTGGTTCAAAATCTTGGTCTGATTTTGGACAATTTCTGTTTAGCATGCACATTGGCAACAGTTGAAAGGGTGTTTTCGTAAATCAAACCTTCTTGAATGTGTTGTAATGTTGCGGTATTCCTTTGATATTAGAACCATAAGTCTCAATATAAAAAAAACATGACATTTTAAAAGTTTATTTTTTAACATTTAAAAAATAAACGGAGAAGCTTGAACACATTAAACTAGGTCCTCAAAATACCTTAAAAACCACTAATTTTAGCACGTTATTTCCAAATTTTTTCCCGGACCCCCCGCCTTTGCTGGGGGGTGTTCCATACCCCCCAGGCCCCCCCAAAATATATGTCTAGGACCGC